ATTCTTAAATTTGTGATAGCAATTGTATTACAACTTGTTATTTCCTGAAATTTTTATTATTGACCCTGTTTCGATAAAGAAAACACTATTAGAGAATACTGGATCAATATGTTTTCACCTAAATCCAATAAAAAAATCTGAAAATAGCAACATGGTTAACAGAAAATGTAGCTTAATAAATTAAAAAGCCAATCGCAAAAAAAATGAAATTTGAGCCTGAACAAGTTTTCTGAATTTTTTTTTAAAAAAAGAAAAACAAACCAAAAGGGTTACTATTTTACTTCGTTAATGAAAACAAAAAAAAACATCCTTGAAAGTTGAAAAGACAGGTTCGCATAATTTTTACGGACTGAGCAAGATTGGTTCATTAATCACAATCAAAAATTATAAACAACAAAAAGCAATTCATTGCAATTTTTCCGACAAACTTAGCATAAAAATTATCATCAAATTTTGTTCAGTGGATTGAGTCATGAATATATTGTATGGAATTGATTGAAGCTTTCTAGTTGTAAATGAAATTAAGATTAGTTAAAGTCGATTATGACAAAGTTGAGTGCGAATCGATGCAGTTAGACAATGTTGCATTCATTAGCATATCAAATATTAGTTTATAAAAAATTTATCATGGCTTATTCAACTTTCACTTCAAATGTTGGTGACAGAAATGAAAAACGTATCAAAAAATGACAAACTGACGAGTTATAAATTAGTATCATCATTTTATGGCTAGGTAAAAGAGTGTAGCTTCTTTTTGGGACAATAATGAACAAAATTTACTTCGACCTTTATCCGATATTCTTTTTTCGAACTGTTTTTTTTTTACTTTAACTGAGATACGAACAGTTAGTTTTAATCAAACTTAATCAAAATAGACAATGTACAGCTATCGCGCTAATTGCCAACAAAACTTTGACAACTTGGATTTTTCCAGAGTCACTCGTTCCGCCCTCGTCATCTGGGTCCGTTATGTCACCGATTCCCGCTTGGTGACCTTGAGTTTTGACACATCTGTCGAGATTTTCTTTGATATCCATCAACTGAGAGTCAGTTTCTTTTTTACTACTTTTATAGTTGATTGCATTCGCACATGCGTAAACACAAGAGCACTCTTCCGCCTTTTCCTTGTTTGTGTCATTTTGACACTGCTGGGCAAAATATTTCATGCAGTTGAGGTACCCTTTGATGCTTTGAACGAAAAGGGAGCACTGACGATCTGGAACCGCTGCTTTTTGGCCACTGCCTCCTGATCCGCCGCCGGATCCACCACCACCAGGAGCCGAAGTACCATTTCCGGTACTGTTACCACTGGGCGTTGCAGGGCCGGTGCTATTTGCCGTCACAGAACCATTCCCATTTCCCCCGGGTGGTTGAGACGACGGCTGCTTACTTCCAGCTGTAGTTGTATTCCCACCGCTCCCAGCTGTTGTTGCTGCTGTAGTTTGATTACTGTTGTTTTGACCATTTGCAAACAAAGCAAGCGACAGCAAGGAAAGCCAAGCTACAGGACCGACAGTCATCGTATTAGTGCAGTCGATTTCAATTTTTTTTTTCAGTTTATTTTCTTTCTGGTTGAGGTTGCTGCGAGAAGTTTAGCAAGAATTTACTATGACAGAAACTTGACAAAATTTATGTAGTTTAAGATTGAAGCTAATTCGCAGATATCACAATATAGATTTAATGATGATGTTATAAATGGCTGATTTTTGACACCCGATGAGTCAGAAGTTTTTAAAGAGAGAATTGATTTAGTTTTCGAAATAAAGCGGGTTGCAAAGTGTGAGCAAATGACTTTTATCATCCGGAAGTCAAATGTCGGCAAAAAAACTATGACCAAAACGACAAATGCCAAATTTGAAAAAGGGTAAAATATTCAAGTCATCAAAGAATCTTAAACATGATATCACTAATGATGATTAAAAGTTCTCAGGGAACAAACGACTATCAAGGACAAAGGACCATATCCCTAAGGAATTCAACAGCATGAACATCCAAAGGGTCACCCCCCTTTGGTATCATTTTGCGAAGTCCGTTTTCGGTTGAGCGATCTTAAAAATTTGCTTAAGACATCTCTTTTCGTGCCGATTTACTCTAATTTTGACCATCAAAACCGTCTATTTTCCATCTTCTCCCATTGTAAAAATACAATGAAAAATTGCATATCATCATCAGCATTATCACGATCACCATCATCATCATCACCATCATCATCACCATCACCATCACCATCATCATTCATTCATTTATTTATTTATTTATTTATTTATTTATTTATTTATTTATTGATCCGACCATTGAAAGGGGGAGGAACTTTGCATTTGGTTGTGTTTTCGTTTTTTTTTGCTTTCAACTTTTCGTTTTCCGCCTAAAATTAGGTACCGCAACAAATCATCGCACTGAGTGAAATGAGATACCATATTAGAGCCCTTTAATTCGTGATTCGAAAAATATTTAAAAATTTCCAAATAAAATCCCCAGTGACGAGAAAAATTACTTTCAAATTTTTGACTTTTCGTCTAGTTTCGAGCAAAGGTGCACGCTAAAGTTAGTTTACTTGTGATTCGACTTAAATGTTTTAAAACTTTCCAAACAAAATCCCCAGAGACGAGATAAATAAGATTCAAATTTTCGATTTTTCGTCTAGTTTCGATCGAAGGTGCAGGCTCACGTTAGCTTATTTATCCTTAATTTAAACCTTGAAAAATTAGTTATACTCAAGTAAAGTTCGTTCTTGGAGTTTCTAGCGCCATCTTAAAAATCAAAAAAACCTGAAAAATTTCCAAAAAAAACTTTTACGATTTTTTTGAAAATTTGTTAAACGATTTTTTTGTTTGTTTTTCCAATTGTTTTTCTACAAAAACTAATTTTTAAGTTGACTGTTTTACTATGACTGTGGAATATCCCTGAGTTCTAATTTTTTGTTCAGATCCTTATATCAAACCACGCAGGAAAAAAGACATCAAATTGAAAAACTTTCTTGTTTTTTAAGATTATGGTCGGAAAATTCTGTGCTACTCGCACAGTAACCGGCTACCCTTGTTTAATTATGTATTTAATTATACAGTCTTCCTTTTACTTAGAGAGTTGAAGTATACGTTTAATTATAATGATATTGTTTGGAAATTATATTCGAAATTAAGTGAGGTTATCAGTGCTTCGCAGGGTATTATCTACTGCAAACCAATTTGTTCTTCATACTTTACACCGTAACATCATGCATTTTTCTTCTTTTTTCAACTTTTTGTTTTCAACGCAAAATCAGGTACCGCAAAAAACTATCGCGCTGGGTAAAATAATATATCATATTAAAGCCCTTTAATTTGCGATTCGAACGACATTAAAAAATTTCCAAACAAAATCCCCAGTGACGAGAAAAACTAGTTTCAAATTTTTTTTTCGTCTAATTTTGATCGCAGTTGCAGGCTTAAGTTAGCTTATTTATCCTTAATTTATTTCTTGAAAATTTAGTTTACTCGAGAAAACCTGTTTTCTAATTTGACTGTTTTACTATGACTGTCGAATATGCCTGAGTTCTAATTTTTTGTTCAGATCCTTTTATCACACCGCACAGAAAATGGCACCAAATTGAAAAACTTTCCGTTTTTTAAAAATATGGTCGGAACATTCTGTGCTACTCGCACACTAACCGGCTGCCCTTGTTGTTCCGACTTTCGATACGAAAGTAACGGAATATTTGTGCTCGGGGTGGGTTTTTTTTTTCTTCAGACAAATTTCGACTTTTTAAATAGCCATTTTTGATGGAATTTTTTTATATCATTCAAAAAGTATTGTTGTACTGAGCTTAAATTTGAAAAAATATTTTACCTGTGACCATTTTTCGTAAAGCTATGAGGGTTTAAAGGTTGCCATTTTGACCAATTTGGGACAATTAACGCGCGATATAATTCGAGCTATTAAAGCGTAAGCGGAGATTTAATCCCTCTTAAGAATCGTTCCAAATTGGTTGAGCGAAGCTTATTTGCCATAATTGATTTGTTACAAGGAACGAATTCTTTCCTTATGTACTTTATATGGCGTGTGGGGGATGATTTTCATTAAAAAAATTTCAAACTTTAGAGAACAAAAATTTCATTTTATTTTTTTTTTCATTTAATTTTTTTAATGTTATTACTGCTGCATAAACCTTAAAAGGCAGTCGGAACATTCAGGGCTTCGCCCTGATACGAGCAGTCTTGTTTAATTATATATTTAATAATACAGTTTTCCAGAGTGTTGAAGTATACAGTTAACTATAATGATATTGCTTGGAAATTGTATTCGAAATGAAGTGAGGTTATCAGTGCTTCGCAGGGTATCAGGGAGCATATAGTGAACAAATTTACTACTGCAAACCAATTTGTTCTTCATACTTCACACCGTAAAATCATACATTTAGTCGTAGAAAAACGTGCAAAACAACTATGAAAACATAAACTTTGAAATGGGGACTAAGAAGCAGGCTCATTCAATTACTTCAAACCTGGTGTAAGCGGTGGTGAAAGGGTTACATCTCCGCCTCTCACTCGAAACCCCATGTTTGAGACCCATTAAGATCCGGATCGGTGCTCATAGCTTCAGGGTGAGGCAACATTACCCAGCCCAGAAAAACTAACCAAAAAATTGCATGTAATTCTTAACCAGGGGTACAACAATGGTTCTCCACGAAGAGCTGAGCATCTTGTATGTTGACCCTTTCCCTTGTGGATAAACCGTCTTAAACCAATACTGCATCAATCAAATCTATTAAAATTTGTATCATAAAGTGACAAAAATATTTCATTGATTGGAAGTAGTTTATCAATAAAACAATAGGCGCGGTTTTGATGATGAAAATTGAAAGACTGAAACTAAATGGCACAGTTGAGAGTTAGAGTAAGAAAATTAATACATTTTTACGTAGTAAAGAATAATGATGAGTACTGATACTGAATTCGTGATATTTTTTGGCAAACTCCAACCATCGTCATCATATTATATAATAAAAAGGAATATTATCTGACCTTGCAGTTTCTGACGACAAAGTCTAGACACGGTGGTACCAGCCAATCGAACAGCTCCACTGTCACTTCGTTGTTGATCTCCTCGGGCAGCTTCGAAATCCACGACTTCATGATCGGCTCCCACCCGAGTTGACTCGGCTCCAGGTACACCATGCCGCAACGGGACACAGTAGCAGGAGATGCTTGGGTCAGGTCCATGACTTCAAAGATCAGGGTCATCGGGTCACTCATCTTGATGATCTCTCCAGACATGAGGCAGAGCTGGAAAATTAACATAGATAGTTCTCATTGCAATCAAAGAAATTTCAACTATTCCCGAGAAATTTCAAAATTCCCGAAACTTCAAAATTCCCGAAATTTCAACTATATTGATTTTTTACCAAATGCAGTCCTGAGTTCTCACAAAAATCATAGATCAGTGCCTGCTTTTTCTGTTCTAGTGCTTGAATCACTATAAGCACAATCAAACTTTGATTTTAGATCACAAGCAAGATATCAAGGTTGTGGAGCCTTCGTTACCCTGACCCACCTTTTTGTTGTCATCCAGCACAGTGTTCATGTTCTCGATCCAGACAGCGTCTATGGGTCCGTCGAATATGACCCACTTCCGGTCAGGAGATTCGGTGTGCGCAAACTCACGGAACGTCTTCGCCACAACACCATCACTCCACTGTAAACAAAAACACAGGGAAAAATTATTAAACTTCAAGCTAAAATATATTTCAAAAAAATGGTCATCTTTATTGAAATGCTACATGAAATAAAAGCTACAAAACAGTGAACACTACAAATTGCGCCGCAAAATTGACCACCAATCTTTTTGCAATCGAATAATTAATATGTTCGAGAGCCTATGAGTTTAGGGCAGCACCCTCCATTCCCAATGGGACCGCCCGCTGTCCTTTCTAAGTTTCTAACAATGTATTTTATATTGCTCTTTGAAATTATTTAATTCTTAATTAATTCTTCTTCTAAGTTTTCTTCTTCTAGATCGCCCGCTGTCCTTTCTGAGTTTCTAACAATGGATTTTATATTGCTCTTTGAAATTATTTAACTCTTAATTAATTCTTCTAAAAAAAGGGGTGCTGCTTCTTTTTGATACGATGACATATTTTGACACCAGGGACAATGTGTGCGCTTGCATTACTTTGTAATATCGGTATTCAAGTCAAACGACAAACCAAATCAAACCTATTATTCAAGGCGACCACTTGAGCAAAAATATGTCTAGCAATAACTTAAATAACAAAAAGAAAACGCATAATCTACTATTTCTACAATTTTTGGGTTTTCAGTTTCTTGGCACACTTTTTGATTTTCGGTTCATGGTAACATCGGCTTTTTGCACTAGCAACGTATCTAATACCTCATGTGAGACAGGGTCGAACATTCCGTACAGCTGTCCCATGGTGATAGACTTGGGGTTGATGGTCTTGAAGAGGGTCTTCTGTTCCTCCATCTGTTCTCTGTCATTTAGTAATGTCAACATCTCGCTCAGAGTGTGCAGCACCTTCGTCTTCCCCGAGAACGGCTCACCCACCAACATGAAACTGAAACAAGGATAGCCGGTTGCTGTACAAGTACCGCCGAATGTTCCGACCTGCAAAAACTATCACTGGAACAACAACTTGAATTATTTTTGAAAATTACGTGGACAAACTACACGACCGGGTCAAAATTGAAAACTATCATAACGAAAGTAAAAAAGTGCTGGGACGTCGAAAAATAGTGACGATGATCCCGACGGCGGTTTACTTTTTCCTCAAAATAAACTCGCCTAGAACAAGGCATTGTTTAACTCACGCGTGAAATTTTATTTATAAATTTTACGCTGAAATTTTTTTAGTAAAATGGTCAATGCCGATTGCCCTATTTGAAAAATGATTCCACTTTTAAAAGAGTTATACAGTAAAATTGGCGTTGTTACAGATGTAACCCGAGAAAAGATGTTGATGAAATGAAGTCTGCGATCTAACCCGTGTCTGACTAGCAACATCTCGTAAGTCTGAATAAGTTTCTCCTTGAATATGTCCACACACTGCAGATTGTGTTCCTCACACTTGTCCATGGCTGCCTGCAGGAAGTCACTGTAGTCTGCCTCCGGTAGCTCCACCCCGGGGAACAGGTCAGAGATGATGCCGTTGAACAGGGGGATGTCGTGGGAGAGGAATTTGGGCAGGTTGACGTCCTTGATCGAACGCAGAAGCTGAAAATGAAACGTGGTTATCTTAATACTGAACGTTGATTCAAAGGCAAGGTTGAACTATTCGAAAATTAAAGAGCATAAATATGACGTCACTTTCTTAGAAAACAGTAACAAAAATCCCGTAAAAAACCTAATGTTTCCAGTCAAAATCGCCAAACGGTATATCTAAATTTTTCGCACTTCTAGTTCAAAAATCTAAATATCGCTGCGCCTAAAAAGTTTTACAAAATTCTTATATCCTAGAAAATTTAAATATAAGAACGACATTTACCAAAATATCTTCTCTGTCATCGGGGAATTTCAGTTTAAGGTTTCCGGCAGCAACCAGCACTGATTTGACTGCTCTCATTCCGTAGTCATAATGCGGCTGACTAGACAACTGTTCAGAACACAGTCGGTAGGTCATCACGATCTTCACCGCTAGGTTCCGAGCGTCCAGGAACCCATACGAGTATAAGGAGATCTCTCCAATTAGAGCGTAGTCCGGAACCATCATAGCAACTGTCCGGAACAAGACTTTCAAGTTGTCGGGAAGTTCCGATCTTCCGGCATAGCCGGGGTTCATAGTGATTGCAACAAAGCAATTGGGGTTCAAAACCAGCGTTGTGCCTTCAAATTCAAAGGTTTCCAGGTGTTCCTGGACTGCTCTCTGGATCGAGAGGATCTGCTGAGCGACGACAGACAGTACCTCGAGTTCGATTCGGTTGAACTCGTCGAAACAAGCCCATGCACCGGAGCTGGCTAGTCCTTTGAAGAACTGAAATGGAACAATTAAAAATTTACTTATTAAAAATTGGTTCATATCAATTCATGGCTACCGCTTGCGGCATCCTAGGAGCGAGTTGATAAACAAACTCATATATACACGGATAAACAATATTCATATATTCATGGATAAACAAATTTCATAAATATTTATAAAAGAAAACTCAGAGAGCAGATTATCAGTTGGGTTTTCACTAGTGTAGACATTTCTATCACATCAGGACGTAGCTGAAACTCTCCGTAAACTGCTGAATACTCGTGTGTTGGTATTTTCCCTTGCGGATCAATTGTTTCGAAAACTTTTCAGTTTGATAACTTAAGACCAGAGTTTTTTAGTTAGGTTTTGGTTCTAATTGGTAGGAGTAATAGATCATATCCCAATTAATGTATCAGCCATAATTTCAAATGCAACTCACTTTTCCCATGGCCAGGTAGTCGAGACCGTCGGAACAGTTGAACACGACACATTGCACAGCCAGTGCCTTGGCCAAATCCTTGGTGGTCTCTGTCTTTCCAGTACCTGCTGGTCCCTCGGGGGCTCCTCCCAGGTTCAAGTGGAATGCACCCACCAGGGTTCGGTAGCATCTACAACAAAGGCAAAATTTTTTTACGCGGGTAAAAGCATCGTAAATAATCATCTGATACAATCAAGAATATCAAAAATTTAAAAACGATCAATTTCGAAGCCAGAGGATGATACATTCGGAGCCTAGCTAAAAAAAAATTACGAGAACAGAACGGCTTCGAACAAACTGCATGCCAAATAAAGGCAACTCCAGTTCTCTTCTTTAAAAAAAAAACGTAGTTCAAGATAAGGTCAAAGAGCCGATACAAGGTATTTCCCAAGCTTTAAGAGAATCATACCTGTCAGTTAGAGGCGTGATCACAAGTCGAGGTGTGTTTCCCAAATACTCGTAAGCATACTTCACGCTGGCATTGATAATCTTCACTCTGCAGTTATCATTCTCCCAGTAGTATCTCAGCTGAGCAAGCCACTCGAAATCATTCTCTGTATGGACACCTTTTTGGGCCATCTCTTCAACAATGTCTCTAGCGTGCACATCTATGGTCACCAATGCACCCATAGTGGTCCTCGCACCTTTGCTCAGTTTGCCTCGAACTAGCTGGACTATGTCTCCCATTTGAGACTGTAGTTTCTTGTGGTACTCCAGGAGTCCTTTCGGACCCTCTCGAATAGCTTCGTGGACCTCCAGAGTCCAGTAGATTTGAGATGTGCAGAGGACAACCTGAAAAAATTTAATCAGATTACAACCTAAGCTGATAAATTAAAAAAAAAGAATAGCCAGTTACTGAACAAGTAGCATAGAAGATTCCAATCACAGTTATCTTTGAAAAAATAAAAATGAGGAAAAAATTTTTTGTCCTCCCCTATTCGCTTTTTTGGAGGGAGAGAGAAAAGAGGCGAAACCTTAGCTTTAAAAGCTAATAAATTTTTACAGCTTAAATAATATTTAGAACGATTTTTAAAATTAACAATTGTCAGATTGGCAAGATTAAACAAGGATAGCCGGTTACTGTGCAAGAAGCACAAAATTTTCCGACCATAGCCTTAAAAATACCAAAAAAAATTCAAATTAGTGTCGTTTTTTCGGCGTGGTGTGATGAAAAAATCTAAAAGAAAAACTAGATTTGGCATATTTGACCGTCATTGTAAAATAAGCGAATTGAATTTTGATTCCAAAAAGGCGCTTATAAATAAAAAAATAATAATAACGTTACTCCGATAAAACTAAATTTTTACGTTTCAAATTAAGCTATTGTAAACTTTTAAGCCATTAAATCGGCTATTGTATGGCTGCTCGCTCGCTTTTATCGCTCAAATTAAGACGAAAAAAGAAGCCAAATTAAGACTTTTATCGCTCAATTTAAGTCATTCGAATCACGATGAAAGGGTTTTAATATTAGACATCAGTCATCTCTCTCCTAGAAAAAAACCACAAAAACCCGCATACAAAACCCACATTAGACCATAGTTCCCGCCCGCTCTTAAGAGTGGTCGGAGCAACAACTAAGATTCAATGGATTTTGAAAATTTTTGTCATAAAATGACCTAAACTATACAATCAATGTAATTCATAGCTTGATCTCTCAAATGAAAGACACTTGGCTAGAAGAAAAAATTATCTCGCTTGCATATATAACACCATATTTCATAGAAAATGTAATACCTGCAGATTACTTATTTGTGCGCTCGCTGTTTACAACCAAGGTTCAAAATTAAGAGACTGATTTCAGTGACTCACCTGTCCAGGCCACTCCAGCACCCACTTCTGTCTGGGCTCATTGGCATATGCGTCCTTGCTCTTGTCTATGACGTCACGGATGGACCTCAACATCACATCCTCCAGAGTGAGCAGCCATTTCTCCACCGCCCCCTTGGCCTCCACAGTGTTGATCGTCTCTATCAGTTTCACCTGCGAAACAACAAGGCACATCAGGAACATGTGAAAAATACCAGGGACCTCTACGCGGGAATCTTCTAAATTCGCTTCTGTCGCTTCTGTGCAGGCAATAGAAAAGCAATTTTGAAATATTTCTGGATGCGCAAAAAAAAAGAATCAAGTTGAGCCCCATCCCAAAGTAAAAGTTTTAAGAAATGGCTACCATCGCTGCTGATCGGAGATTATAACACCGTTGCGTTACAAAAGAATCCTAATAAGCGATAGAAAAGCGATTCTTTGTTTTTGCATGTTTAGAACGAATATGTTTTTTTTATTGTATGATGCCTATAAATTAGTGGGGTACTATGAGCAAGAAAAGATAATTGCCGGAAAATTATCTGAAGCTCATTTCCATTCAAACAAATATGACATTTTCATAAATTTATCACTAACAGCTGTGTCATTTATTAATCATCAGAAATTCTGATTATTCTTTTCGGAATTTCAAACTATCTTCGAACAATAAACTCAATATCTGCCAAGCTTAATCGACAATTGATACCATATTTACGACAAACAGAAAAATCAGACTTAATTATACATACAGAAATGTAGTTGACAGAATCAAATGAAATATCCGTTATTCGATCCTCAGACAATTAAAATAGACAAACTTCAGAAAACAATTACAACTCCTTCTGCAGAATCTTGCCTCTCCAATTATCATTTGACAGCAAATCTATCCCAAATTAAGTTTGCGTTCACAGAAGAACTTAGTTGAAGATTTTACAACTTATTTACGAAGGAAAATTAGTTAGCGAAACAAAAATTAGTCATCCTATTCACATGGCATCTGAAAGAGTATTAAATCTTTTCATTCTTCTAACTTTTGCTTTGTTTCTTAACCAATCAGCAGCTAGAGCCGAAAATGACGTAATAGAACCCGGAAACGAGGATTTCGAATTAAGTTCTATCTTGGATTCAGAGAGCCCGAACTCGGAAGTTATGATGGATCATTCTGACAGATTAACGAACCCAGAATATCGCATTTCTGAAATCATCCTAAGCCTTCCTGACAAGCCCGAAAGTCAAGTTAAAGCGATGGCACCAAACAAAGCGGCCCGAGCGATGGTCGAAACAAGCCGAAAGCGTCGCCAGCAAGGAGGATCATTCAACGGCGGGGGATTCTTCTTCGGCGGAACCTACCCCTACCCGATCGCAGACGGTGCTACTTGTGGGTGTCCGACCCAGTCTTGTTGTCCCGATTCAACTTGGGACGACCACTACTACTGCTGCTTTTCAGCCGATTTCTCGCCAAAAATGATCACGAGTGTCGCTTTGATATCACTAATGGCTTTCGTAAGAGCTACATTTTTGTAGGTGCTAAATCCTCCTACAACTTTCAAGACAATTAAGTCATAATCAACTGAAATTTCTCTGGTTTCATGCTAATATTGCATGGGATGCTCAAAACGTAGCTTGTAATTAAACTAGCATTATTTAATTTAATTTGCAATTTTATAATTAAAGTTTCACCAATTAAGCATTTTAAAAATCTTAGATTGGGTTTGCAGTTTCAGAAGAGGGTAGCGAGAATTGCCGGATTTAATTTTGAGGGAACTTCACACACTTAACAAAATCAAAACCTTCCTATATTTTTCATGCATTCACAATTTTTCTCCTCATTAAAACAGATTTGCGTTCGCCTTAAACTTTTTCAAAAATTAGACCAGAAGTATAAACAGTATAAAGTATATATCATTATAATATAGCAGAAACAGACGCAAGTTTTAACGTACCTGTTCACTCTCCGCACTGTATATAGCTAAGATATCTAGCGAGGGCGAGAATAGTAGTTTGGCGATGCCCTCGAAGCACTTCTTCAGATGGGGCTCCACTCTGGTCGGGTCCTTCGTCTCAGACAGGATCTCCAGCATCTCGTCATTGGACAAGAAGAAGAACCTGGATCGAACAAACATGAACAAAAGAATGCAAAACGAACATTCGAAAGTTTCAATAGCATCTAGAACCGTTGAAGTACAGCGATTCCTCAAGTTCCCCTTTTTGCAGGATATGTATTAGATTAAAAATGCACTCCATAAAAAGAACTGAACAAACTAAACGTCAACTAGTGCCACCAAAACTGAATGAAAACAAAACTGGTCTTAAGAATATAGGTAAGAGAGATGATTTACGTGCCTGGGAAAATAGAGTCGTTTCTTCTCGAGGTATGCGTTAAGTCCCTTGAGGATCTTGTCCAATAAATCATTGCTGTCCTTGAGCTTCTCCAAAAGGCCAGTCAGTCCAGTCGCCGGAATCACTTTGGGATCCCTGGATGCGTGTCTCATGATGTCCTAAAATGAATATCGGAGCAGCGTCACAAATGGATGACCTTGGTGGACATTTAGGTCTATTTAAACAACTAACTGATATCAATGGGAATTTTCGACTATTTAGACAACCAAACGTATGGTTTTTAAATCACTCTATTGTAATAATTTTTTTTGGTGAAATTACCATCCTAGTTTTATGCAATGAACTGATTTCATAGGATCGAATCGAGCAGAGAACGAATTGGTCATATGAAACTTGATAACTGAAAAAATTTAAGCGCTGCAATAATTAGTCGCAAGCGGCAAATACTCAGACGCAACAATTTGTGTACGTTCAATATTTGACGGTTCGGTTCGGAAGTGCTAGAGAAAGCGACAGTTCGTTGCAACGGAAAAGATTGATAATCACTTCAAACCATTCATATAGAGCAGAACAATTAAGCCGTAAAGGCAGTTTGCGCAGTGTTTTGACGATTCGTCAACATGTTCTTGGTTACGGCCAGGGGAAAACACAAGCTATGACTCCGAGCCGGTTGAGCTGTTCTCTCACCTTCCAGTTCTTGTCAACTATGGTGAACAGTCTGCCCTCCTCTGGCATCTGACTCATGATGTCTGGACTGGAGAAGATGGGTTCCAGGTAGAGCCACTGACTCTGCACTTTCAGCCACTCGTCTATTGTCTCCTGCATCCTCATCAACTTATCCTCCCACTCCTGAAAAGAAAAAATATCATTCCGAATTAAAATGATTTTTTTAAACAAGACAATTAACAAAAACTGTTTTCCTTATTTTGCAAATGGAAGGAAATCTTTCTAAAAGATTCTTGTCTTTCTTATCATAATATTTTATTTTTTGGCTAATGCGTTCACATGAGCTGTGACCATGTTTTAGCGGTTTTTGCAAATGTTTTGAATTGCTTTGGCTATTTCTCAGTTGATGATTTTTTGTTCTCAGTTTTGTACCTTTTCTCTGTCCAGTTCTCGGTAAATGCAGAAACTTTAAGACTGGAGCTAAAAATTAGACATTTTTTATTGATACAGAAACAGATACCTTGATTTCGGTTTCAAATGGCTTGATGAAGGGCGACCCCCTCATAGTCTGTGTCTTGACAATCTGGTCATCCAGCACCTGTTGGATCTCATCCACTGAGGCCAGGATCTTCACTCCGCTGTCTCTGTAGTCTATCAGGTTGAACTCTATAATCTCCCACTCTTCCTTCATCTTGATCATCGCTTTCTCAAGGCCAAACTCCTGCACACGAAAGTTCACGTTTGTTCACGTTACTCTAAGACGTTCACGAAAATTATATTCATTTTGGCAATTGAAACCTCCATTACAAAACAATGATTTACATTTTCATTTTAAGACAACAAAAAGGACCGAAAAAAAAATAAAAACGACTAAGTGACTACAGAATGATCAAAATTTTACCAGAAAATGCATAATTTTCTCGAGAAAATGGCAAAATAAAGGCAAAAAAGTTCGCAGTTAGTCACTTGAGGAGTTACGTGATCTCAGTTTTGCCAGTTAGCCTTGTGCTCAGAACAAATATAATAAAATCCTGAAGGTGACTTGCCTTCGAAGCAGCTCCACTGATGGTCTCGAAGTCCTCCATGAATGCGTTGAGTTCCTGCTTGAGCACCTTCCTCAGAGTGGTGCCTGAGTCGGGGGTGATGTCTTTCTCCGCTATCTCACTCATCTTTACCCAATGTCTCTCCCTGATTCCAGGGTTGCACAGAATAGACACTATCGGGATGTACTCCTATGAATAGAAAAAAAAATCTTTGTCCAGTTAGTTGGATACCGTTTTGAACTACTGATTTATTTGCATTTATTGAGAAGAACTACTGATGCATTTGCATTTAAAAACCATTATAATAAACTCCCCACTTCTGTATTTTTTTTAAAATTACCACATAACTTTTTAATATGCTGATGTTTCGATAATAACTATACAATATTTTAAAACATTTCAATGATATTTAATTACAACACTTTGCTACTGAATGTATTATTTGAAGAAAATTTTATTCTGAATCAGTCGTAATGGGAAATTCTATCAATGTAAATATGTCAATTTAACAAAAAGAGAAACTGCCATCTACCTTGATGCTCACAAACTCATAACCTAGCATGAGACACGAAAGATCTGTTTTGACTGACCTTGAAGTCCTTGATCTGGTCCATGATCTTGTTGCACACAGTGATAGCAGACATCTCATCTTCAGCTGAGTCATCCCCTCCCCCCTCCTTCTTCCTCTTCACCACATTGCCCTCCTTGTTCGCCTTCTCCAGCATCTCCTTCTTCTTCACCTGCTGGAAGAACTTGTTCACTTTGAAGATGTCTGTCCAGAACTCCTGTACTTCGTTGCTGATGGTCTCCGAGTTCAGGTCAAGGAAAGCGCCGTCCATCCATCTGAACAAATACATCATCACAATTAAACAAAACAACAAACACTTCTAAAGTTAAGCCCACAAAAAGCCTTCAGCATTCGAAACGCTATCAATCACCACCGACGGTATCACAAAATCTCAAACATCTTGAACCAGGTAAAGTTGAACGCCTCAAAATCGTTTCAATTCCGTGCTTTACGTATGTTTCCGAGAGGTCGATAAAACCAAAACTAATAGCCAGGCTAACAAAAACCAAGCCTTTCGTTTCCTTTTTGGCTACAAAACGTTCCAAACATTCTATCATTTCGGATTTTGAACTCAATTAAAATTCATTTTTTGTTCAAGGCTGGGCTTAAACATGTTAGTTTTGATGAGCCTCAATGTGCCTGTGGTATACTACTCACTTTCGCTCTGTCTTCATCCACTTGGCCACAATGGCGAACAGTCTCTGGTATGGCTCTATGATGTTGTTGATCTCGTCCACTTCTGGGAACTCAGTGGGCTCATTGACCTTGAACAGCTCCTCCTCCTTACTCACAAATGATATGTTATCCTTCACTTCGTTCATTCTCTTCTGGATCACACGCAACTAGAACGACACAACGCAAACTTGAAACTAACATTCTTATTGATTCTATCTGATGTCACGCACGGACGTCTAAATGCAGCTTCACGACTACAAATTTATATTCGGGTGGCTACCAAAAAAATAGGAGTGATAATCGGAGCAACTAGACCCGGAAACACCGAAAACTGTTAAAGCAAAGTTTGAGTACAAGAAACTGACGTTAAAGAACATGTTCTGGTAATTATGAAAAGGACAACTAGCAAAGTAAAGAGAAACACTAGAATGCACTGCATTGGAATCAAACTTATTAGTAATATTTTAGGTCCTCATTATGACTACGATGAGAAGCAAAGTAAAAAGAAGCCCTGGTACATTGCATTCAAGTCTAAATTATTAGTAAAATATATTGTGTACCTCGTTCATGTAAGTGGTGATCTGGTCCATGTCTCCACACTCCTTGATGTCGGTGGCCTTGGCCTTCAGTTTGCTCAACTCCAGCACCACCTCCTCCCTCTTCTCGTTCAACACCGTCTCCCTTTCTTTCCTCACCTTCTCAACAACCTACATACAAAAAAAAACAAGGATTACCGGTCACTGCAAGTAGCACAGAATGTTCCGACCACAGGGAACTCAGTGGGCTCATACTTTTTTTAAAACTAGTGTGGTTTTTTCTGCGTGTTGTGATAAAAGGATCTGAACAAAAAAACTAGAACTTAGGCACAGGGGAGGATCTAAAATTTTCTCGAGGGGGGGGGGGCGAATTTTCAAATGTCGACCAATTTGATTTTATGAGCTCTCCCAAATCACTATAAAGACCCCGTTTTGCGTTTTTAGGCTCTTTTTGGAAAATGTTGACAAAAAATCGCGTTCTTTCGGCGCGCGCTCCCCCTTCAAAGCGCCGAAGGCGCCTTTAGAAAATAATTAGCGTCACCCCCCCCCCCCCCCCCCCCCCTAAATCCGCTGGTGTTTGGACATATTCGACAGTCATAATAAAGTAGGCAAATTTGTCAACAATTTTTGAAAAACATGGCTCGCAAAACAAAAACAAAACAATAAAAAAATCAAAACTTTTCACATTATTCTGCAAAAATTTTTTAAACTTTTGAAGTTTTTGATTCCAAAATAGCGCTAAAAACCAGAAACTAACTTGAAAAAAAAATAAGTTTTCGCGGCTTAAAACTAAGTTTTCGCGAACTACGCATGTCAGAAGTGGTATTTACCACTCCTACTAAATTGACCATTCTATGAACAAAGTTATTTACGGGAAAAAAGTCTAATACCTGATTGCAACACACTTGCTAATCGCGAGGGTATTATTAAGCTATTGAGGGCCGTCATTCAATCAATTATTCAAAAAGTGTACACTTGTTGTACTCGATACTAGTAAAACTTTTGGAAACTTTTAAATTTTCGAATCATGACTGAAAGGGCTTCAATATGATATATCACTCGACCCATTCCGATGATTAATTGTGGTACCTCATTTTTCTTGAAAAAAAACTATAACACACTCGAATACGAAATTCCTCCCCAAATTCAATGGTCGAAATAAAAAATGCTATGTAATCATATTTAAAAATTTTGCTACAGAACTTAATATCGCTTTAGAAAACTATCTATTTACCCATTAACAGGCTAGATACTTTTACTAGACAAAAGCTATAAAGTTTAAATTTTTTCACATTTACGCTAGGTGGTACTTTTTTTTTACCAAGCATCAAGAAAAAATAGACAAAAAAATTGAGCTATCAAAATTATCAATAAATTGAGTTATCGAAGAAATATGATAAAGTACGCAACTTTCTGAAAAGCAAATCAATTCTAACAGAATTAATAATCTATATGCTCGTCCTTTAAATTATTTGCATCAAAAAAAGAAAAGCCGATTTTTTTTTCCAACTAGTGTCTTTTTTCTGCGTGGTGTGATAAAAAGATCTAAGCGAAAAAGTGTTTCTTAGACACATTCGACAGTCATTCTAAAAAAAGCCAATTGCAATAGAGTTTTTTTTGAAAAAGGATTACAAAAAACTTTACAAAAAATTTCAAAAGTTTTTGATTCCCAAAATGGCTCAAAAACTCTAATAGCTAATTTTACTCCGATAAAACTAAGTTTTCACGGCTTCAATTGATCATGAATAAGCTATTGTAAGCCTGCACGCTCTCATTATTAACTCAAAATTAGACCCAAAATCAAAAGTTTTAAACCGTTTTTTCTCAACACAGAAACTATTTTCAAATTTTTTTAATGTCGTTCGAATCAGGACTGAAAGGGCTTTAATATGATAAATCACTCCACTTACTCCGATTTTTGTTTGTGGTACCTGATTTTGCGAAGAAAACAAAAAGAAAAAACTAAAACATACCCGAATACAAAGTTCCTCCAAATTTTTCAAAAGTTCGGAGCAATCAGCCAATCAGGGGAAATTGTTTTAAACGCTAACTTTTACATTGTTTTAAATACTGGAATAAACGTGTTATAAACATGTTTTAAGCAAAACTTGTTTTAAACATTGCAACCCTGCGCACGGTGAAGAGGAAACTGTTCCTTATGAATAATGAAAATTTTAACAATTTTAGTTTTTTAATAATTTTTTTATTAATTTTTGTAGCAGGATTGACTAATCGATCGATTTTTGGCTTCTCTTTTGTCTGACCTGAGTGTTATCTTTTTATTTGCATGATAAGAAGGTCATCGATTTATCCTTATACTAATTGTGGGTTAAAATTGCGTTGAGTTATAAGATGCGGGTCAAAAACCGTGACGTGAAGCTGTAGAACACCAAAAAAATGTACAATTTTTTGTGTTGTTTAAAAAAATTGTGTTTAATTTTTTTCCATTTTTCGTTCAATTATCTTGTTTTAAGACGTTTGAATTTTGGTTTCTTATTGATAAAACTGAAGTCATAGTTGTCAAGAACATGTTTGACCTCTTCCCCCGCGGGAAATAGAAAAGGATGGAAAAATCTCAAAACTTTCTGACGATTCATTACTGATCAACAACATCAATGTTCCCAGCGATCTTCAATTATTATACCTTTTCGGCAAAAATCTATTCACTTAATACCAAAAAATGTTCAAAGCAATATTTTAAGGAAAAACTACTGCGAAGAACTCTACAATAGAACTCTTGTTGTTCTTGCTTTTAAACAAAGTAGTTGATGAGTTTACCTCGTCGTTTTTGTCGAATATCGGCTGAACTCGCTTCGGCCAAGTGACTGTCATCGAATTGAGCTCCAAGTCCTCCTGGCTGAAGAGGTGGTTGTTCAACAAGTAGTCCAGCCTCTTCTTCACTTCCTTGATTCTCTCCAGGAGTTGTATGGTTCCCAGGGATCTGGCGTTCTCGATGAAGTTCTGTTGTTCCATCAGTTCTTCCGTGTTTCTCGCTTCCTTCAGACATTGTTCCTCGATGTGCTCGTAGTCTTTGCAAATGCTGAAACAAAATTTTGTATAAATTGTTATGAATGATCGCCATCGCTTTTTCAATCAATTAACTGAAGTGTAGAATCGGCATAGTTTGTTGTTTAGATAAAAAATTTCGGGAACCAGAGCTGACACGGAGGAGGAGCGGTCTGACAAGCATGGAAATTAACCAGAGTAAAACATCGGTAATATAACTCAGTTCTTTTTTAATGTGGTTTCAAGAGATTGCACAATACGACACCATTCAAAAGACTCGGCATAACAAATCGTTAAAAATAGTATCTTATTGTGAAAAATAATCAACTGTGAACAATTCACAGCATAAAATACGGTCAAACAGTCGGCTAATATACGCGTCATGAAAACCAATAAAGCTAACTTGCATCAAACAAAAAACCAAGGATACGGGTTTAAATTGGGACAATTTATAGAAATTGAAAAGGTTAAGAGTGATTTTTTTATTTGCCTCTGAAAAAATGATCTGGCATATTTTACTGCCCATACCCCAATGGTTATTTTTGAAACTTCTCTTCATATTGTCCAGCTGCGAGCGAATAAGGCAGCAAAATTAATTACTCAACTAAAAACATACATACTTTTATGCTTAACCTTTGCAAAAGCATTGATTGCACCATGAAATTGAAATTTTGTCTCTAATGGAAGGGAGGGGGGGGGGGGGGGGCGTTGGAGGCAGAAGGTAAAGAGGCCGATCCAGGCACCTGATGTTCTCTTCTCTGTGGCTGTTTGCAATTTTGTGTAGCAGCAGGTCTGCCAATTGTTTGGCCTTGTCAGACAGACCTCTCTTCAGGTCACTGCAGTCCAGTCTGACCAGGGGGAAAGTGACAAGTGAGTCCAGCTGGCGGATATCCTCGCACAATTTCTTGTATTTGGCTATTTCCTGGCAACAGAGCATATACTTTTTGACAGTTTTGTGAACAATTATTTGAATACTCTCTAACAGGAGCAGACGTATTTTTTGGTCGACCTGCTTTTAGGTCAACCACATTGATATTTCTACCTCTCCTGAAACACAAAAGCGCCTTTTTGTCGAGAAAAATTAATGCCGCAGGCAAATTTTTGGAAACTAAGTTTACAAAAAACCATGTATCCAAAAGACCAGTGTGCCCAAATTACCGTTTTTGGAAGATATGGACCTGAAGATCGCCTTTTTTTCGGCGCGCAATTGCCCCCAAGGAAAATTTATTTTTGCACCAAAGGTAATATCAGAAAAAAATTAGGGCTTTTCTGCTAGAAATGCATGTCGTAAAAATTTCTATGTTCGCGTTTTGGGTGGCGAGGGAACAAATATCCTTGACGGGGGATGTATGCTTGATCTTAACAGACGACAAATCAACCTAATTAATAGCAAGATTGTCCAACCTATAACTAATCACACCCTATTTTGTTGAAGAAAATCAACAAGTTGGCAACATTTACGAATAGTAAGTAACTATGGGATAGAACAAATACTGACCCTGGTGTAGTCTTGGAACTCGTGTTCCTCATTGGCCATGAACTGCTCCACCACCTTGACTGCCTCCCCATTCACTAGGTACGAGTACTCCTCAACTATTACAAACACACAACGTCATCAAAAAGAACATTAAAAAGCTTAAGGGGAGAGGACATTATCTTGGTTTTTGGTGTACACTTTTTAAGCAGTGCTGAACAATTTTGATTCAAATGAAATATTAGGGTTGAAGATCTTAACTAGGTCTATTTATGGGGAGAGTGTTCATTTGATCCTACATGTCCTGTACTAAACTGGATTATATAAACATCGGAAAAAAATTGAAAGCCAGCTTTAGCTTTCCTGCTAGAACCCTCCAGCCAGCCGAACACAGTGAGACAAAAACCAACGTGTCTATTTTTTTTTTTCACTTAGGATTCTTTCGATCAATCCTTTTGATGAAAAGACATTAGTATCGTGAAACTGCATGATAAATGCCATAATGTAAACGCATGTAACAAACAAACGTAAGCGCATGTAAATATATCATAGAACATACAGTTTTCGAATTTGACGTATTCTTAAAAAACTTAATTTTTTCAAACACCAGTTCAGCATTATGATTAAAATTATGCTGAACTTATGATCGAGCTGAACAAGAAACGCAATCCGATCTGATCCAAAAATAGACTGCACAGCAGCAAAGCAATTTTTTCAAAGGCTAGCAGCGTTTTGTATATTTGACTACTTTTTTTGTTAATTTTATTGTTGCTCCCAAGGAACTACGACTAAGGGGGATTTTTTTCTAGCTGACTTTAATCACCTCAAGCAAAGCTCGTAAGATCAAGTGCAGCGTTATATCAAAGCCTTATTGGTCGTGATTCGGATTTTGAAGAAAAACTAAAAAGTTGTCTGTATCGGAATTGTTCTCAAAACTTTTGGTTTTAAGAACAATTCAGAGCAAAAGTGGTTTTCCAACCCAAATGTTTCGAATATTAAATATGTTACTTCCTAGTTCCTAACATTTTTGATAGCGAACTTTACCTGTCCTCCCGTTGAACACTTCGGAAACAATTTGATATATTTTTGGCAGAGATTAATGTAGTCGAAGCATTCTGTGCTACTTGAACAGCCACCGACAATACTTGTCTTCAAATAAAAATTTGACATTTGGTCACTTATTTTGACACTCTGAGATTTGTAACCACCGTTTTTTTTTATATCAAAAGCTGAAAGAGCCAAATATCATTTTATTTTGCAATGTTTTTGTAGTGCGAGACAATTTGAAACGAGCAAATAATTCGGGTTAAACTTTCAGAGCCATAGATTAAATCTTCACAGCGCGCATATATTAATCCAGAGCATGACCAAATTGGCAATTTTCAAACCCAGAACTTTACGACAAAAAATCAGAGGTAAAGTATCTTTTACTGAATGAAATTTGACTGAATAAAAGACCACCTCCAAACGAAACTATTCCGCCACTTTCTACGAAAGTTGGAGCAAAAACTATATGCTGCAATTTCATAACGCGTCAACAATGAATATACAATTTTGAAGATTTTTGTTGATACTATAGCCCTCCACGGGCAATATTAAGTACTTAGTAAATTAAGACTGTTCGTATCAGGACACAGTCTTGAATGATCCGACTGCCCTTTAATTGGTCTCGAATAGTTTTTGATGAACTAAATAATGGCAAAAAATTGAATTTTAGGCTGATCATATCAAAAACTAAGTGCTGCAATTTGAGTCGTGTATGAAGTTCATAAAACCAATTAGCTGTCTCGATTTCAATTGGGAACGATTTTGTAGAGCGAGTTAATAAAGCAAGCAGTTTTAGACAACCTAATGGCAGGCTACTATACTGATGTGTCACTCGGCTGGTCCCATGCAGATCACGAGATCGATCCCCCGAGGTACCAGAGTTTTTTTAAATTGGTCTTAATAAAAAAAACCTCCCCGAACATATTTATTCCTCACTTTCTTCGAAAGTCGGAACAATAGATCTTCGTGGCGTAGGTTGGAAACAGAAATAGGTTCTTAATTTTTTTTTACTGCATCATAGGTCTATTGTTCTGTAAGTTGTTCATAAATCTACAGGTTTACTAACTGTAGCCGCCGAGATATGTCTGTGCGTGTTCGAAGTTCTCATTGACCGACTGCACCAGTTGCTTGTTGGCACTCTTTATGATGAATTCCGCTGTCTTCACGTCTATGTACACAGCCTGCAAACAGATCTAAGATGCAAAACTTTCTCGATTTTTTTTGCGCATAACTGTTCAAAAGTTTTTACATGACAAAATTTTTGAGGTTAGAGAGAATTGGGACAACAAAAAATGACTCCTCGCTGTCGCCGAAATCGCTAATGTTTCATTCTCTAACCTTTTTGAGCTAATGGACAGTCCGTCTATAGCGAAGATAAACTCGTTATTAATTTCAATATTCAACTGAGCTTAACTTCTCGACAGGTATTATAAAGATGATTAGTTACATCGCATCATGGAAATATTGGTAACAAAACCCGACCTGCGTTTCGTTTGAAGCTGACATCCACGACTGAACTGTCTGAAAATTCTGCATGCATTTCGTGATCTCGTCAACCACGTACAAAACAGTGTCTTTCAGATCCTAAACCGAACAATCATGATAACTAATTTAAAAATATACCGGATTTCACTCATCTGAAATTGATTTTTTGGCCTGTTTAAATTTTTGTCTTCTTTCAAAAATCAACGTTGAAAAACAAAGTCAAACTAATTGGGATTATTACAGAGAAAATTTGACCTGGCAAATCAGATAGTTTCATTCACTAAATCATTAGAAAATTTAATTCAATTGGTCCGTATACTTGAAAAACTTTACGTCGAAATTTGGATAGAACTGCATGATGTTGTCGTCCAACACCAGCTGTAATTTGAAGCAAGGCAGAAAGTCTGAGTTCTCAGGTTTGAAGAGTTTCACCCACCCTTCGATCGTCTGGTTTTTGAGCATTTTCAGCTATAAAGGAGGAAGTTTCTGTCAATGATACGACTATGAGTACCTGAGATATATCAATGGTCGCTGATTTTGAAACTAAAGCAAATATTCTGGTACTGCCTGATGTTTTTCATCCTTTTTCTAACTACAATTCTCTGAAAACTTTAATCGCTGTATCAAAAAAAAATCCTTCAGAGAATGTTGAGGGTCGATCATGTCTGCTTCTGAATTCTATTTTAATGAACATATTTTTCATACTTGGTTTGATAGTAGTACAGACACGCAATTATAGAACGAGTCCAGCATCTCCGGCCGGATGTCTGCGATGGTGTTCTTGGCCACAAACAAACGCACTATCTCCGGGTACCACTGATTGCGTAATTTAGTCTCCGTCTTCTCCAGTTCCAGTTTGACATCATTTCTAAGGTCATTGACCGATACAGGGCCTTTCATCCTGAAATTGAGAAGTAAACGTCAAACTTCAAGAGTGGAAGTTCAAGATAGCTGAAACTTCCCATGCGGCCATTCAGACTGAACTTCTCAAACGACGCCTAAGTAACTTGCATGACCCTTTTTCCTTTTCTCCTCGCCTGTATACCTTTATTTTTATAACTGTTGCTCCTAAATTTAGATTGCTATGAGACTTGGCATGCTGAGTAATAAGACTATTTCAAACATATTTAGTATTCATTCTTTGTCGTAATTAATTCTTCAATGCGCCATAAAACTGATTTGCTTGTTCGAATAGAAAAAAAAGAGAAAAAGAGCCTCTTGCTCACTAGCATCATTCCACTTCAATTATTGTACTCATAAATGGAAAGTCTCTAGATTTTAAACATGCATTCGCAATTCATTAGCAGAGCTATCGGTTGGACCGCTTCAGTCCACTTTGCTTATTTTAAAAAACAGCTATCACAGCTCGAGACACTCTAGCACAAAACTCATCAAACATACTTACATCTCGTATCTGTAAAAAAATTACACTCATATTTGTCGTTTTCTATAGGCTCGGATTTTTATGATTTCAAAGATATCTTTTTCTTTATTAAAATTTTTGTCATAAACAAAAAAATAATGTTTTTAAACTGCTGCAAAGGCATTTGGATCCGGATAACAGCAGCCAATATTAACAGCCTGACTTTGATTGAAGTTTACCTGAGGTTTGTGAGATCAATCAGCATGATAGACCCTAGTGTGTTGTGACACATGTGCAGAACCTGTTGCATGGCAGGGTGCAAGAGATGAAGGCGATTACGAATCTGAACTCTGTGCTTCTGCACTTGGTCATGCCAAGGAGTCGAGAAGTCCAGACCCCTAAAGTCAGTCATTTTAATTAGCAAAATAAAAACGAAAAAGCAGTCTGCAAACGCAACATTTTAATGAAAAACGCGGCTAATCGCTAGTGTAAATAGAAACTACCTTATTATAGAGTGTTAAGTTGTTATATTAAACTAAAGTGTGTGGAAAAATCCTAGAATCTGGAGGTCAAAAAATCATTTGCTAGCTTTATTTGCTAGCCTAGTGATTTTCTGAAACATTTTTAAGTCCTAATATATGCGACTATTATAAATGTACTGAACAATCAATTTCTAATAGTATGCATGACAAGACTTCTACATTGTGGTATACAAGCCGCTGGCTGGCGCTACTTACATCCCGGTTTGTGTAACAAACTCGTGTTTGTACAGCATATTGGTATCCCACACCATTCTACACCAATTATGAACACAAATGATTGATCTTGAGAACTGGAAGCCATTCATAATACATATATACACTTATCTTTCAAAATAATTCTGCATCCGAGCGGGCAGAAAAAAATCAAATTCAACGAATCGAGACTGCGGTACTTACTGTGGTTCTTCATACGGAGCAGAATTGTCATCTTCTTCCAGTCCTTTGATTGCCGGTTTGACCAAAACTTGTTGAACTAGAATAGATATAACACTAAGCTTCTTTCAAGCAGAGTTAATCATCTAATTAGCTTTTAAAAAATTCTAACTTGTCGCTTTTTTCATACTATCCTCATACTCGGTGATTACTTCTTCAAACAAGGAGTTTATTCGCTCTTGCCTTCCTCTTCCCTCTTTGCATTTCTTGGGAATCATGGACAAAATAGAGTTTTTACTGGAATCTTGCATCGAGACAATGGGCGCTTGAGCGACACACGATTTCAGGAATTGATAGTTCATCTAACAAAATTCATTACGAGATATTTTCATCAAAATATAGAGCAGGCAACCATCGAAAATTAATCATTAAAATTAGTTTTAAGCTGCAAATGTAACTGGACATGAAACAGAAAATGAAAATATACCAACCCTTTGCTTTCTCTGTTCACTCATCATCTAAAGACATTAAAATTATTTGCATATTTATTTTCTCACATTTAACAACCATTTCAAAGCAAGTAAGATGTTCATACTGAGTCGGGAAACTTTGGGGGTTGAGGGGCTAGCTTGGAAGATTCAGTTTTACTGACAGTCTGCTCCATGCTGTCCAGAGCTCGCTGGTACAGGATTTTGTCCATCAGACCTTGCACCTCATTTTTCCTCCTAGCAAAAACACGCCATCTGTTCAAGTCTTTCGAGAAAAGACGACGGCATCAAAATGACAAGACATCAACTAGCCGTGCCTTCGAAATGACAAATAAAAAGCATTAGCTCATAATTTTTATGACTAATCGATAGCTTGATTTCAAAAACAATGACAACTGACAGCAAAAAGAGTCAAGGAACGCAACACAGAAAAAAACTGACGTTTTCAATAAAAAAAGTTCAACTTTCGAACTTCGATTAAAAAAACATAACTGTGAAAACTTCTTCTATATCAAGAACAATTCATAAAAAAATTTTTTTGACAAATCATTCCGATTTGGGAAAACTATCAATATGTATTGTTTTATTCCGCTTCTTTTATTGCGCTGGGAATTCTACAAATTAAAAACCTATTTCGAAACTAGAACTCGATCAGTTTTTTTCTGAACTTTTTTTGCGTTTCAAAAGTAGATTTTGTCTTCCTTTTAACGAAGGAAATGAACTTAACTACATTTATTGACACTTAATTACAGGTTTATGTTAGGGAACCATAGTCAAACAAGAACATGTTGCAAAACCTGTGTTTCAGAAGCGTCTGTCGCCTCTCCTTTGCTGAAGCGCTACGTTCTTGAATTATTGGCGGAAGCTTTGGGATCTTGCCATTATTATTCATTGTGGTCTTGGACTTTGAACCCAAGCCCTTTTCTGTTGTTTTCACAGATGGTCTCGAATCAGCCATAACTGCCTAGTCCATTGTCATCAAAATCTGAAAATCAATTACAAATGCGAATGAGATTTCATTTCAGTAAGATGAGGATTCCTGAAATTGAATTTTTTTCAACATGATTCTGTAAGAAAATGAGATGAAACAGTGCGCTAAGATTTCAGTTGGGTAGCTTGGCTTTTCACTGAGTTTCGGCAAACTGTTTCTTGTTTCGAAAAAAAAATAAAATCAAATTCAATCCAAATTAAAGAAAAAAAATCGTGTCTTTGAGTCTTCCATTTTAAGATTTTTAAAAAAGTAACAACTCTCTGATGAGCTTCCAATCCACTTTTCATCTTTTGAACAAAGAGATAAAAATCAGTCAATCTTAAAATTCTTATCTAAATTGAATTTTAATTTATTTTTTCATGTCAAAACTGATCGCTCGAACTTTATTCGAAATCTTCATAATGTTATTTTTTGAAAAAAAAATAGACTAGTTCCACATGCTTTCAAAAAACGCAAAAACGCACGTGCAATATAGTTGATGTTTTTGCCTTCTGATTTCTACATTTTGAAAGAAAAAAATCTAATTTTTTTCAAGTATATCTCCGGGTGAAGGCTTTTTTGCCCCCCATTGAGTAAAACCAAGTCAAGAGTCAACAACAACTGACGGAATCTCAGCTACCAATTACTCACGAAGTGCTGATTGAAACGGAGACAAATTTCAGAAATGTGCTAACAGCAAACAAAACGACGACAGAAACAAAACAAATCCAAATAATCAAAATCATCCCCCCATTCTCGAGAGAAATTTGAAAAGTCACCTGAAAATCTGGAGCAGGCATATCGAAGTTGTGCTTCCGATATACTTAAACAATTCCCCACAACAATGCAACAGAAGATGTGTAACATTCGCCCGGAAGATTCATATCGACGGAAAACAAAACTAAGTCTTAAGACGACTGGCTAACGTCTAAACAGGAGCTTTGCATGCTTTTCACCGTCTCTACCAAGCCAGTACTTTTCGGTGGTCTTTTCTAACATCGGGTCGACAAAAACGTTACTGCTTTCGGCTTCGGTCAAAACACTCAAATTAACTAAATTACATGCAGAAATAGTGAGCTCATGGCTGGGTCTCAGTATCCCCAGACCACGAGGTCACTCCTAAAAACAGGGCTACTACTATTTATTATATTACTATTGTTTTTGTTCAGTAGATAAAAATCATCATCTCCATCGAAGATGGATCAACCCTTTCCCCCAACTCCTAGCTTCTCATCCTTATCAAAATGAATCTAGATGTTAATTAAATTCAAGTCAGGACATGACAGGAAGCTAAAAGTTTATGTAACAGGATAAAAGTTTCAGTTCCTTTACCCCTCCGGATTGACAAATTCGCTGGATCAAGCTTGTTAATCCTGATTTCTTCTTAATCCGGAAGGCCGTCTTTCAACCTTCACCGTTGTTCGCAACGGCCTTGCAACTATTGTAGCGGCACAATAGTTGCAACTCGGAGTGTTCTCTGTTACTCTGTAACTCGTTGTCGTTTTCCAATCTCGATTTCGTAGTTGTTGTTAGCGCAGCTAATGTTTTTCTGTTTTTCTTTCCTGTTTCAGCCAAAATGGCCGTTTCTGACGTTTCTCAGAAATATGACGTCACAATTCGAATTTTTGAAATTTTAAAATACCAGAATATTCCAGCCCTCACCGTCTGGCCAATCGTTCCAATAACGTTCTTAGTTCTTAATAATCACCAATCCGGAAGGCTCGCTGCTAAAAATTCGAATTCTGCTGAGATTGCATTTTTCACATTCTGGTCGAATGTCACATACTCCCCGGACAGTCCGGTCAATGTCCTCATTGAATCACGCAATATTCGTAAAATGGTCACAGTGTCATCGAACAGAATTTACAAAATGCACGAAATTACTTTTATCCACGTCACATCGACTCACTGCAGAATATAAATGGCATCATACTACATCACTATAGCCTTCAAATTCTCTCATTAATCTGCACATTGAGGATATGACTTAAGATAAAACATATTTTCTGACTTCCAATGTCAATGTCCCGATTAAAACTTTTTCTCTTAGATTTAAAAGGTGTTGGCTTGCAGGACAGTCCTGCCAACCAACAAGCTAAAATTATCCTACTACGCTTTTCCCTTCGGAAATCTTGCTTGTTATTGTCCTGAATATTAAAACTAAGAAACTCTGTGGTTAGAAAGAACAATGAAACAATCTCCCTCTTCGAGAGATTACTCAAGCCTTCCATGTCACCACAAAGTGATCAGTTCTCCTAGCTGATTAAAAACAGTCATGCAGGCTGGAATATTTAAATATACTCCTTCACTTAAGCCTTCCTAAATAAATAGTAAGTGAGTGTCTCTAAAGCCACTTCAACTAAAATCAAAATGCAAATCTATAATTGCAACAATTTCAAAACTCAACTTAATGTTTCAGTTTTCAATTAGAACTTGGTTGCTTGGTTTCTCACTTGAGTTTTTCACACACATAAACAATTCTGAGTTTTAACTTTTCTTCATCACTCCTTTATTTTCTTCTTTTTTCGTCGTTTAGAAGTTCTAAAACTTCTAAATTCTTCTAATTCCATCTCTTTTTTCATCTTGTCTTTCGGTCATCCGTCAATGTTCCATTTCTTCCTCCTGTGATACTGACTCTGCACTCTCAGTTTCCGTATTTTGTAACACGTCGTTAGCTATCCTGACGCTGCTGGAAGCCGTCCTCCAACACTTCTGCTCTTCCACCCTCTGTTTACAACAAGGTAGGGGATCCACGTTAGATTCTCTGTTCCTGCAGAAGCTGTTGTGGAGACACAACGTCACCTTTCTCTCCAAATCTTCTTTCAGCATCTCTGCCTTCTCCTTTCCACTACGCTCACTCGTCCTGGAAATTCTTTTCACAGCGGTGGTCACTGCATTCCGATGAGTCACGAGAGCTCGCTTGAAAGCTCCTGCTCCAATGTCCAGCTGATATTCACTGTACATCCTGCCATGCTTCGACATATGCTTTTTCGCATACTCGTACAACCATGCAGTCATGTTAGCTCTGAACCATGGCATCAATCGTTTTCTTGCCCATATCTTCTTCACTTCCATCGGAATGTTTAGAACTTTGCACATTGTCTCAAAAAGATCTAAATTTTTTAGACAATCTAATTTCCGCAACCGTTTTCTCGTCGGTGCCTCCTGTCTGTTATTTTCTCTCAGATGAGCTTCCAGCCATCGTATCGCCATCATAACTCCCACTATCACTATCGTTACGGGCTGTGATGAATCTGGTAAACCCATGGAGAGCAGCTCTCCAGAGTCCCAGATCAACATCAGATTACTGCGCTTGGGAAGCCACCAGGTCTGCAGCAAGCAGTGGCAAGGAAACTCGTCATGCGTCAACATGATGCTCCTCCAATTACGTTTTCCCGAAGCTTCCAGCAATGGTTCCACTTCCATCATCACTCGGTGGACTTCATCATTCTCATCTACTGCATTGTAATCTGTGACAGTTGATCCTCTCTGTTTCTGTCTCTCAAAATCACTGAAGTTCCCACTCACATATCCCATGAACTTCTTTCCTAGTATTGACTCCAATTCTTCTTTGGTTCTCTCCGGAACTGCTGAGAACATCTTACATAGTAACTCGTAAGACTTTTCAGACATTCTCGCCAATCTCACACACTTCGGCACTGAGAAGGCTAGATCCACGATCGTTCTTGTACTCTTCACGTCCACAGCCACGAAATGTACAGGATATCTGCTCCTGCACATTGGAGCCAACGTTGAACCCACCAAATATCGTGCTCCTGATGGTCTACAATAAGTCTCGCTGTGTCTGATGTTCATTTCCGTCTCGATTGCTTCCCTCCATTTTCCTATGTATTTCTGCTCAGTCTGCAGAACTCCTGGGAATACTTCTACACTGATGGCTGTGACCATCTCATGTTTCTGTTCTAGATTCAATAGTGACTCTAAAGAACCAAACATGCTGTAGAATCCTAGTGCAGTCACTAGATTCACATCGGTTCCTCCATGGCAATCTGCTATCAGTTCCGTTTCTGTTCTAGCTTTCATCACTACATTCCCAAACAATACCGTCAATTGTTTGTGTTGTTTCTCCAGGGTCTTCACACAGTCCAAACCTCCACAAACGTGACCCTCCAGTCCACAGACTTCCGCCAGACAGCTACCAGGTTTGACCCAGTCTTCTGGTCCCCAGCCAGGCAACTCCACCTTATCTTCTCCGTTGCTCTTAGAGGCTGTTATCATCACATTATAAATGATGTTGAGGTCACGCAGGTTACAGTCTGCATTCAGTTCCCTCTGTACGTCTTGCGTCGCCCGTAATATTGAGTCAGCGTTGGGACTAGGACACCATGATGGCCTCATCAGTTCCCACACTGTCATCAAGCTCGTTCTCAGTAATTCATCTGAGAATCCCAACCCAAACTCCACTCTCTTATCAGATTTTGGTACTGAAGGTGCAGTCACCTCTTTTTCCAAGACCAGTCCCAATTTGACCTGTGGATTGTTAACGCTCTTAATCGTTACAATTCTGGACGTCCAGAATCTTAGCAACACCGCCTGCTCGTAATCGAAGAAGCAATCGCGTATGTCTTCACTCAGGAAAGGGTTGTACGCTATCCCTATGATCCCGGATACGTAGCTATACGATTTCTTCTTGATCGGTCCACAGTAATCACTGGATTTCGGCAGTGCCCCCATAGATTCTTTAGCGAGTCTCAGCTCCTTGTTTGAGAATCTCCTGATTTCGTCTATCTTTCTCATGGGTTCTAATTCCTCGGGTTCTTTCATGTTCACCCTCATCGGTTTACTTTGCTGCATATCCAGCAGTGCTAGCAAGAATAAAGCTTTCGGTCGCTCATCGCCTACCCTCAACATCTTAACACAAGTGTTTAATGCAGGTACTGAAATCTGCTCTATCAGGAATCGTATGAAACAGAGAGCGTCTCTCCGCTTCGCACACGCTACTGCTGCTCCCTCCTGGACTATCAGATCCCTCAGGTTCGTCTTAAGGAAAACCTTTTCCTC